AAGTGGCCCGCGACATGGTTTGAGTTGGAGACCCTTGATTTAGGGAGTGAACATCGGTATTTTACCGTTTGCAGGCAGAACTCTGTCCAAACTCAATAATCACCCAACACCGTCGGATGGCATATACTTAGTATTATTTAGCCTAGTCCAACTCTAAAAGGTATTATTGGTGTTTTACAGTCAATGTTCTATAGAAGAGTCGTATATTTCACGAAAAAAGAGACTCCAGCCGTGACGCAAAGTGCGAATCATATAAATAACGTGGATTTCAAAATCGCCAGTCATATGTGTGAAATTGTTGACGCGACTCAGACAGGAAATCAATAACATTAAACTCCTTTATAATGACTTATTACTATCGATTTTAATCGTTAAGTATGTTGATAGGTATTTGTCTGTCTGTGTGTTTGTCTGTCTGTCTGTTAGATGCACGCGATATCTTACGAAAGCGAGATTGGATCGGCTGCAGATTTTGCCTGTGCATTCATCATATCTCGTACCAGAAGCCTATTGATTTTGGGCGAATTATGTCGTATAATTAGCGAGTTATCAATTGATTAGGGTTGGGACACAAGGTGTCACTATGGTGTAAGAGCGCTGTTTCGGGGATCCCCTAACTTTCGATCGATAAGTCTTCGGTCTCTGACCGATATTCTCGTTATTAGTTTAGCATGTATTTTCAGCCATACATACCATCCCTGGCGCTGTGATGCTTTGATAAATATGATTTCGACTGCACCATACTTGGCAGAGGTATCGAGATTTTTTAAACGTGTGAAAAACGTAAAATTAATGGTAATTTTCACGCGTAGTCTAGCATTAGAATGTTTACGTCTTTCTACGCGCATTTCCGTCGAAAAAAGTAACATTTTTTTGCATTGAGGGGGGCGCGTGCATTAATAAATAAAGGTGTGAGTCATCAAAATTGTCAATTGAAGCCTTGAACTTAAAAATTCTGTAAATACAATCGTGAATTTTAGAGTAACCATTCTTGCTATAATAGTGATTTTGGTGGTGTTCTGTTGGACAATAACACAAGAAAACGTTGAAATAAAAATTAATTTATTAGGAATAATTATTAGAGGAGTGCGTTTTACATATATTGCTGAATAGATCTCTATCACATGCTATTAAAAAGCCATGAGTGAAGCTTTAGGGCCTGATGGTAGACAAAAAAATAACTCATGTAAAATGGCACCAGACCGACCGGCTGGGCAGGGTGAATGTACTATAATATAGCTTCCTGACACATTGCTGAAATAATGTGCATCATCCTGATCATCTCCACCTCCCCTTATTTTAATTTTTATTAGCTCAAAAAAGTCGTCAACAGAGACCTGCGATTTTACAAGTTAATATATTTAGCATCGATGATTGTTTCATTCTTCGTGAGATGATGATTCAAGAAACGAATATTGGTATTTTGCCGTTTAAGAATGGACCATGATATAGCTTCCAAGTTATCAATCAAATTATAGTGATTTAAAGCGTTTCAACTAGAGTTTTGTTTCACCTACCGAAGGCTCATCAAAGTTTATGGTGTTCTTCGTTTATCTTTGGTATTTTATAACACCGTATTTCAGTGGTAATAATTTTTCCATCATTTTCAGTCGGAAATGTGAGTTTCAGATTCACTCCTTTTATTACCGTTACGTCGCCAATGATCGCATAATAGTGCGTTTTCAGGCACAGTTCCGAGCGATAAAAATTAATTATCGACGTTCCCGTGGCACAATAAGTTTTCTCGTATGCAGGGGACCGCACTCGACCTGGAATATGATAAGATATGAGTTGAATAATTAAAGTATAATTGAGTAATTAAAGTAATGTGCCCTTATTGTATAAGTGGACGCAACCACGAATTAAGTTAAACACAATTATAGAAATATAGAAGTATAGAAATACGTTTTGAATGTTGGTATTGGTCATGAGTTGAATACTTGACGCAACAAAAAAATCATTGTCCGCCGAAAATATCGGCAATGGCGTGATCGCGACGCCTGTTTCAAAAACTGTTGCATGTGAAATACCGATTTCGAACTATGCGGGGGAACTACAGAAATATTGGCATATTCGCATGTTATGCGCACTTCAAAAATCACGATTAACTAAAATTGAGGAATACTAATCGAATATAACGCTACACGAAAACGATAAGAACATCCCTGATCACTGGGTTTTAAATATATATTCATGAGATAAAAAAAATATCGTAATTTATTTGCAAAAGTGACTTTAAAAAATAACAACGCAGAATACTAGAGGGCGCAAATTTTGAAATGTAACTACAGTTTAATAATTGTCATGCCTTTATACTTTATCGGCAGTAGCATGATAACCACTGGCATATTCATATCACCCTGGCTACGGTAAAATATTTTAAAGTGCCTCAGTTGTTTTTTATGTGACGCATACTCGTGTCTTTCGCTTCTAACAAGGCTCTGTAAAAGCGGCCACTGACATCCAACAATAGGTGAGAAGATACTATTTTTAGAAAAACAAGAATCTACCCAATTCGTTACACCCTTGGTGATGGTGGGCATAGGATTTTGAACTCGATTTGTGAAACTTGTGATGGTTAAAACCCTGTCTAGCCTAATATCCTGGAGTCATTTTGTATGGTCTCTTTTTCAATATCGTAAACCATTTAAGCCCCAAATCGACCCTCATGCCCTCTTAAAAGCGTTTGCTGGAGTTCTATTCCGCGAGGTGACACTAAAGGACGCGCATATATTATTTTTCTAAATATGCGACCGTATGTTCAAAAACTTGTAGAAATCAACCTTGAATGTTATTGCGTCTGATATTTCATTTCAATTTGATTGTTTTCTTGTGTTCTTTTACAGCAAAATAATAACACAACCATTATCATAGCTAAAATATTTATCGAGAAATTCACAATTGTATTTGCGGAATTTGCAAATTCAACACTTCACTCGACGATTTGATGACGTCACTCCCTAATTATTACTGCATAAAAGCTTCCTTTTCTTCGAACAGCAGCTACTGTAATAATTGTCGACTGCAATTAGCGCATTAAATTGTAAACAACCCCATGTGTGTCGTCACAGCGACATTCACGAATGGTTTTACGTTCTATTCTTATTTACAATTTTATCACCCAACCACAATGCGTGGTAAAAGAAAATTTTTTCTGAAAACATAAATGAAATGAATCACTAAAATTACCTGCTAAGCAAATACAGGGTCATTATAACAGTGTTATCTGCCGCCATTCCTATCTGGGTTACAAGATATTCATACCAGCTTTTCAGAGGTCTGAATCAACATTTTCAAATCGATGCTATTTATACTTCGGACAGTTTCTGGCGATGCTATAGCGTTTCATTGCTTGTGTTTACTACAGACCATTGAGAGTTGCAATTTTTGGCAGGCCGAACATATTTTTCCAAGAAAATTCAAAAATCGAAAGGGTGTCTGATAAATCACATTTTTTACTAAGATCATAATCTGAAACTTCATACTTTAAATAGCGAGCAAACAGTACAATACTCAGGTCGTCTTACTAGGACAAAAATGAAATTTAGTGTGACACTTCTTGTTGCATTACGCTCGATAAAATTTTGGACATCAGGTGACACATTTGATGAAGCCTAGATAAGAACATTTTTTAAATTGGCATCACTAAATAGTTCTGTGCTTGTTCTTTGTAATGTTCATTTTTAAAATAATTGTTTCCACGCGTATGTATTTTAGAACATCGATGGGGATGTTTTTGCATGGTTCGTCAAATTTGGATAGAGATTTCCTTCAGGAAGACAATTTTTATACAAATCAAACATTCCAACATCTCTCGATTAAAAAGTGGATTTTAATTCCTCATTGCATTGGATCCTAAGAAGCTCTATTTAAATATTTTCTGTAACCGTTTCCACGTTAGGTTAAAACGGAGTACTAACAGACTGAACTCGTTTTCAAAAGAACGAAAGTCAGCGAAGCAGGAGGAAAAATCGTTTTGGAACTCCCGTATTACAGAAAAAAAACATTATAACAAAACCATTTATAAGTCCACACCGTGTCCAATAATCTGATCCTCGAACGTAGAAAAAAAATAAAACTAGAATCAACGCAGGCCGGAATATTTTACTCCGCGGGCCGTGGGTTGCCGACCCCTAAGTTAGAGAGTTGGACTCAACTGTTTTGCCATTACACATCTCTTTTTTAAATCTTCTATCATCTCACCCAGGGTGAAAAAATGCGCAGACAAAGCCGAATTGGAAAGATTCCGTTGCATCCTAGAGTATTGAAATTCACACATCGTTAGATATCAGTGGCTGCTTGTCACACAACGTTCGGAGCGAAAGGTTTAAATAAGCATCGTATAAAAGCATTATTTGTACAAGTGTGCCGCATCACTCGCGTGATTTTTTAAAGCTGGGTTGCTTTGCTTGTGAGAGTTTAAATCATCGGCAATATGATTAAACAAATAATCCATTTTTTTTCGACCATAATTTTTCTAGTCGTATCATGATCAAGCAGAACCACAGCACTTCTGACTTCAAGAAATTATCAACATTTTCACATCAAACGTTCACTCACGACTTTTTACGTCATGAAAAATTTCCAAACCAAGACTTTTATCCAGCAACAATTGCATTTGACTTCTTATTTCTCAGAAGATGACATATTTTTCGATTACAGATTGAAGATGTCAAAGCAACATACAAAAGACCGAGATAATGTCATGAATATCGCAAATAGAAAACTTCATTTTGACAATTGTCTTATTTTGGAATGATTTTTATTAAATTGTTTCCCACTCAACATAAGAGCGGTTTATTTAACACCGTGACCATTTGGTTTTACGGATGCGCTCACTTAATTAAAACAAAAATGATTGCCATTTGAATTGTTTATTTAAAACAAATTATAAAATAAAAAAAATCGAGATATTATCTTTTTCCGAAACATATATTCTATCAACTACCCTATAATCGCTGCAAAACTATTTATGATTTTCCAAACTTATTTATATTCAGTTGAAGAAACTTGACGTCGAGGGAAACAGTACTTTAGGAGTGCAAGGTGTTTCTCAGGTCGCATCTGTCGTTTTACAATGTGAAGTCGAAGATGTTAACATGAGCTGGTGCAAACTGACAGCTGAAGCAATGGAAGTATTCAAAAACAATACTCGTGGTGCCAAGGTGAAATTAAGATTTATCTCGATTATTTATTTTCGTCTTATACTGATGAGCCTTTTTTATTCACCAATTGTAGGCAGAGGCGGACACTTCCCATAATTTGGGGGCCGAACTTGCATTGTCAATCAAGAATCATACCACTGTCACGCCAGCCAAATATCTAATTTATATACCCGAATTTCACATTATAGTGTTTCCGCGTCAAATGAAATGTACCTACTACGTAAACTAATAGTTTGGGGATCACGCTATGGGTGGATTTATATTTAGATGCTGATTTGGAAATGATACTGCAACTTATTATAATATAAAAGAGGAAAGATAGAATATTTGAAGTCTTACATTCAAACTTTATGAGGTTCGAATATTGGCAACTTTCTAAACACATGTCATTAAGATAATCGAATTATTCAGAGTTTTATGGAATCGGGGGCAAGAATTAAAAAATATACCATAGGGTGAAGAACTAATATAAGTCCTTATGGTACTCCTGAAGTATGCGCACCAAGACCTGAATCGCACAACCTGAACAATAACCTGGCCCACTATCTGAGTTCAGGTTGTGCGCCATCTTGGTGCGCATACTTCAGGAGGTCCGAACTTATTTTAATGAAAACAATTGTGTGACATCCAACGAGTTTTTGAACTTTTTGGGGTTCGAAAATGTTTAATTAGGCTGAAATTAATTTAAAAAAAAAAACGAATCATATCGAATCTTTCCGATTTCTGGGAAAACATTTGAATATACCATTGTTTAGTTAGAGAACTGATACAAGAACATATTACAACAAAAAATTTCGATGCTTCCCTGCGATTTTTCAAACTTTTCTGGGTTCGTATATTACAAATTAAAAAAAAAAAAAAATTTTGGTAAGATAACCGATTTTTTTGAACTTTTCCGGTCTCGGGGGCAAAAATATGAATTTACCAATGAATAGAGGACTGACATGAGAACTCAACGCAATAAAGAAATTTTGGTGCTTCTCTGCGATTTTTCGAACTTTTTTGGTTTCGAATATTGGAAATTGTAAAAAAATTGAAAATTTTGGTAAGATAACCGATTTTTTTGAACTTTTCCGGTCTCGGGGGCAAAAATATGAATTTACCAATGAATAGGGGACTAACATGAGAACTCAACGCAACAAGGAAATTTTGGTGCTTTCCTGCGATTTTTCGAACTTTTTTGGTTTCGAATATTGGAAATTGTAAAAAAATTGAAAATTTTGGTAAGATAACCGATTTTTATGAACTTTTCCGGTCTCGGGGGCAAAAATATGAATTTACCAATGAATAGAGGACTAACATGAAAACTCAATGCAACAAAGAAATTTTGGTGTTTTCCTGCGATTTTTTTGCTTTTATTTCGTCAACACAACCTTAGATTGAAATGATCACAAATAAATCAATATTAAAGCAAGGCAATGGATATTTTTTTTTTGATTTACTAGTATACTAATTATTACTTATCGATTTTAATCGGTAAGTATGTTGAGGTATTTGTTTGTCTGTCTGTCCGTTAAATGCACGCGATATCTCACGGAAGCGAGATTGATTTTGCATGTGCATTTATTATATGTCGTACCAGAAGCCTATCGATTTTGGATGACTTATGTCGTATAATTAGCGAGTTATTAATTAATTAGTGATGGGATACAAGGTTTCACTATGGGGTAAGAGCGCTGTTTTGGGGGATCCCCTAACTTTCGATCGATAAGTCTTCGGTCTCTGACCGATATTCTCGTTATATTTTTCATAAGTACTAAATCAAGTTGTACAACGGCGATAACAAATTCGCAAGATCGCAAATAATTTATATCAAAACTAATACGAGAATATCGGTCAGAGACCGAACAGACAGACAAACAAACAGACAGACAAATACTTACCGATTGAAATCGATAAGTAATAACCAGGCAATATATTCTCACATTATTATGTTCGCAGATTGCCGTGGCATTTAAAAGAAGTAATGCTTTCATCTTGCCATAAGTCAACGCAACCGCGAGTGACCATGAACACAATTAAATTAAAATAGGAATACATTTTAAATTCTTGTCGTTGTCAAGGATTGGATATTATTACCAAAAAAGGTTGGGAAACGCTGCATTAACTTCGTGTCAACTAATAAACATCAATGTGGACAGGATATTCCCAATATTCGAATCCAAAAACGTTCGAAAAGTCGCCGGTAATCACCAGATTTTTTTGTTGCGTTGAGTTCTCATATTAGTCCCTCTATTCATTGGTAAATTTATATTTTTGCCCCCGAAACCGGAAAAGTTAAAAAAAATCGGTTATCTTATCAAAATTTTCAATTTTTTTCACAATTTCCAATATTCGAACCCAAAAAGTTCGAAATAACGTAGGAAAGCACCAAAATTTCTTTGTTGGGTTGAGTTCTCATGTTAGTCCTCTATTCATTGGTAAGTTCATATTTTTGCCCCCAAGACCGGAAAAGTTTAAAAAAATCGGCTATCTTACCAAAATTCTGATTTTTTTTTCAATTCCCAATATTCGAACCCAAAAAAGTTTGAAAAATCGTAGGAAAGCACCAAAATTTCTTTGTTGCGTTGAGTTTTCATGTTAGTCCTCTATTCATTGGTAAATTCATATTTTTGCCCCCGAGACCGGAAAAGTTCAAAAAAATCGGTTATCTTACCAAAATTTTCAATTTTTTTACAATTTCCAATATTCGAAACCAAAAAAGTTCGAAAAATCGCAGGGAAGCACCAAAATTTCTTTATTGCGTTGAGTTCTCGTATCAGTCTTCTATTCATTCGTAAATTCATATTTTTGCCCCCGAGGCCGGAAAAGTTCAAAAAAATCGGTTATCTTACCAAAATTTTCAGTTTTTTTACAATTCCCAATATTCGAACCCAAAAGATTCAAAAAATCGCAGGGAAGCACCAAAATTTTTGTCGCGTTAGGTTCTCATGTTAGTCCTCTATTCAGTGGTAAATTCATATTTACCATGAATCCACGATAAATATTGTAATAATGTAAATATATCTTCTGTTTCTCATTTCATGATTGAAGGCACACCCTGGTATGACACCCGGTACAATGCCTAAAACATTTGGCTGGAATTTTGCAGGCATTGCGGTGGCAGAATCATGGTGCCGTGTTGATACATTGTTACGTCACAATATTCGTTTTAATCATTCTCTTACAATTTTACTATTCAAATATCCGGTACCACGGGACCTATACCCCTTTGCTTGGAAACAATCCCTTGAATTCCGACAGAATTACCTACTGCTCTTGCTGGCGTACAGGAACGTCAAATTTGAGAAGTCTTATTCGGCCATCGTTTCAATATTAATTTTGCATCGAGCGCCGACGCTGTTTCCTAAACTGAGGAATGTCAAAGAAGATAATAAGATATTCTACGCATTTTTTGCTAAATTTAGGGATAGAAATATTATTCTGGTCGGCATTTTGACTCAAAATAGCATTCAGGATTCACGCGATGCCCACTTTGCATAGTTTTTATTCGATGCAAGACTAACACAGACAAGATAAAAAAAAGTAAACTATCGTCTTCATGAATATCCGCATTCCTGAACCAGTGAAGATAATATTGTTAACCTTTTTAAAATTCGGACGGTTAGTTCACAAACGCTGATAATAAAGATTCAACAAACGCAAAACATTAAAATCAGAAAAAATAAAAGTAGTTGAGTCCTGAATTGCCTCCCTGATAACTGTCTTCAACATACGTCACCGATGTGGACGCTCATTCTGCCAGGAATATGAAAACCAAACTTTGACATCCGCCTTTGCGTAAGAATTGGTACTTGTGTAAGAAAAAGAAAATGGGCAAAGAGGTAGATTACAAACAGTAGGATGGCTAACGTTATGGACTCCTGTTATATAGTTGAAAAACTCGGTAATCGATGGAAATATTTGAATTATTCGGGTTGATGAAAATATTTCAATTCCCCATTCTAGCAATCTTTAATCACTCCGGTATTCCGGTAAAATGCATAGCCGTTGTGGCACTTAATGCAACTTAATAGGACCTTTTTAAATTTAGTAAATTGCACCAAACAAAATGCGTGGTGGAGTCGGCGATCATTTTACATCTTGAGCACTAAAACAGTTGTATTTTAGGTCATTTCTGTGATCTGGAAATCTTATTTTAATCAGTGTTTCGATGTCTTTCACGAAAAATAAACGTTACGATGTAGTCAAGTCGATGATCTTTACCATCAAATTATACTCGGACTCTGCAAGGTGTCCGCCCTTTATTGTAAGTAAGCGCGATGGATTAGCAGTTAAAGTGTTGAGACTCAACTGTGTTGCCAACGCAGGTTACACATCTCTGGTTTAAATCCAATTTCTACCATCTCAAACAGGGTGAAAAATGCGCAGGCAACACCGAATTGGGAAAATCCCGTTTCTTCCTAAAATAGTGACCTTTAAGTATCGTTAGATATCATTGGCTGCTTGTACATGGCTTTGTTCGGAGAGAAAGGTTTAAAGAGGTGTCCCATAAAAATTTTCAGTGTGGTTTTACAAAATTTTCGTCACAGGTATCTTAGTCACGAAATAACAATATAAAACCCAAACTACGCCCATCCATAGCGATTTTATAGATACGTATCGTAGCGATAACATTGCACTTATTTACGAAATTCTGACTGTCAAAAAATTCACAAAGCATTGCATTAGTTTGCTAGGCATCATTGTGCGCAATTGAACCTTCACAATGAGCATACAACCCATCGTGTAAGAAGAAGCAATCGAAATACATCGAGAAATATAGCAAAAGATAGTGGATGAACACATGAATTCGTCGCAAACGATGAATTTCATTATCTGAAAACAAAAAAGAGAAACTACAAAGAGAAAAACCAGGCCGTAATAATGCCACGTATATCACAAATAAATTTCAACTATTGTGAGGGTGATCCCGAAGTATGTGTACCAAGATGGCGCACTACCTGAACATAGTATTTGTACCAGGTTAGGGTTAGCAGGTTGTGCGCCATTTTGGTACG